TCGGGGAGGGGTTTACCCCTCCCCCGACCCCCTCCCCTGGACCTGGACGGGGCGTTCCGCGAGCGGTCGGAGCGTCTAAGAGGGCCCAGGTTGGCTCCAAGAGGGCCTCAGAAAGCCCAAAATGGCCTCGAAGATGGCTCAAGATAGCGGAAGATGCCTCGAGATGGCCCCCAAGATGTCCCAAGACGCCCAAATACCGCTTCAACACGGCCCCAAGTGGTCAAAAGAGCTCCCCAAGGAGGCCCCGAGGAAATTGAAACCCTTCCAAAACAATGAAAAATCATAATGTTGTTGGGTTTCCCGCCTTTTCGCTTCCGATGGACTTCTGGGGCTTCAAGATGACTCCAACATAGCCCAGGAGGGCCCCATAAGATGCCCACGAGAGGCCCAAAACGACCCCAAGAGCGCCCAAGAGCGCTCCATGAGCGCCCCAAGGGCGTTCCAAGAGGCGACTTTAAGTGCTCCCGAAGGGCAAGGCTAATCGGCTAATCAGGGCCCCCCCCCTTCTGTGATCGATCTCCTCCGAGATGGCTCCAAAAACTTTCCCAATGCTCCGAAATGCGCCCCAAGAGGGCCAAAAGAGGCGCCCAGACTGCCCCAAGAGGCGTCCAAGACGCCTCCAAGAGGCTCACGAGAGACCCGCAAGCGGCCTCAAGAGGATTCCTGAGGCACCCCAGACGCTCGAAGACCGCCCTGGGCCCGCCAAGAAGCCCCCGAAACGCCCCGAGAAGCGTCAAAAAAAGCTCCCGAGGAGACTCCGAGAGGCACTCAAGACCCTTATGGCTCCTCTGCTCGCCCTTTTCCTCCTCCTCAGACTGTCAATAGCTCCCCTGCGAATCATGTTTGGATGGGTCAAGCACGCCCCAAGCCGCTCCACAACGACAAGGTATCCACGTGTTTGTGCATTTCCGTTTCTCAAAATACTTACATACTTCCCTTATCGGGACACTTCTCCTGGACATCGGTTATGGATGGGCTGGTGGGGATTTGTTTTATCGCAAGCGCACCGGAAGACGCCGGGGGCCGTCATAATGAAGCGTCGACGCAACGGCCTAAATTAACGCACGGAATTTTATCTGACACGCTCTGGCTGCTTGCTTGGGCTTTGGCGGGTGCTGGTGTGACTGGTGGTTCGCGCCTGCAGAATGAGGTGGGTCGCCGTGCGGTGCAGTGCCAAAGAAGCGCCTCTTCCTTCCCCCTCCTCCTCGACCCTTCTTGTGGGGGGGACGTCGCCGCCAGGGGGCGGCCCGGGGCAGCGCTGGGGGTCTCGGCGACGACGGCGACGGCCCAAGAGGCCCCCATGACCACCCCCAGACGGCCCAGGAGGCCTCCAAGAAGGCCCCAAGACGCCGAATAGCACCCCAAGACGGTTCAAGAGGCGCCCATGACGGCCCCAGAAGGCCCCAAGACAGCCCCAGAAGGGGCCCAAGAGAGGGAGCACTAACCGAAAATCCGACGCTTCTACCCCAAGAGGCCCCTAGGAGGCCCCAAGAGGCGCCCAAGAGGCCTCCAAGAGGCCCCCAAGGGGCCCCCCAAAGGCCCCGAATCGGCCTCCAAATGGCCGACGACGACGGCGGCGGCTACTTCTGAATATGAGCCAGGCTGACTCTGGCCTAGGGTCCACATACGTACGAAAAAGAAGACCGAAGAGAAATCGGTCTCGCTACAGTCGAAAATCATGATGATTTAGTTCACGCCAAAATGGGTGAATTCCTTGTCATGTGTAGTCAGGTACTGGAGGCCAAAGACAAACACCCGGCGGCCATGTAGCCGCTGATGAACATGCAGGAGAAGAACTCCGCCTAAGGAAAGGAACAGAAAGAACTCGGCCGTGGGACAGATGAGAACTCTACGACCAACGATTTATAGAGGACGCAACGCCCCGGGGAGCCGACGAAGTAGAAATGCAAGTCTAGGCCTCTGACTCCACGCTGAAGGCGCCAACCAGGGAAGGGATTACCCACCCATCCCACGGGCGTCGGCACGATCCCATGGCACGAGCACCATCCGACAACCAGGATGACGAATGGAAAATGGCACAGAAGCCAACCGGGGAAGGGATAACCACCCATCCCCCGGGCGTCGGCCCGGCCAGTAGCCGAGAACGGCGGTACAAGGATGTCGAAGAGACGGTTCCTGCAGGCGACCGTCGTGAACGCCTACGCGCCCCCCATTGGGGCATCATGATAAGGTAATGCTATGTGTACGTGGGTGCCCTCGACGGGCCGGCCATACGTGATGACCCAGTTCATGTAGCCCTTCGTGGCATAGTTGTCAAAAGGTAGTTGCCCCCGGTCGCCACGAAGAAAAAAGTTCATGACAACTCTCCGCGCCTCGCGGATGCGAGGCCCAACCACACGGGTTCGATACCGAGGACGTAGTTGTCGTAGTGGTCCACGACGGCGGCGGCGGCAGCGGCGGGCGAGCAAGGGCGGGGACGGCTCGCGCGAGCAAGGAGTGGCAAGGGCGCGGGAGGCGCGCGCGTGCAAGGGGAAGCGCC